GATTACAAAAACATACGTCTATTAATTCTTTAACGATGTTGTTTTAAAAACTGATTAAACATAAATCAAACAACATCCTTTTACTTTTGTAAACACTTAAACCATCTTATTCGTGAAACCATATCCTCTAATCGACTTCATCTTCCTCATTTCGAGTTAGGAAGATGAAGTCAATTTTGGATTCTAGTTTCGCGAAAGTGATGCTTTAAGTGTTTAAAGAAACAAAAAACGTTGTTTGGCTGCTTTCTGAAAAATGACGTCGTTTACAGAGTTAACATACATCTATTTTTATAATCGCGTTTAAGAGTTGACTATTTGAGTTTCTTAAATGACTGAGTCAACAAAATATAAGAGTTAAAACGACCACTATTTAAATGTTGGAGATTTTTTTGCTCAAACACGAGTTGAATGACTTTTTCGTTTTAATTTGAAAGTTCAAGATTTTAATGGCTGTTTTTTAATTTGAAAATACCGAGCAATTTGTCGCAAAAAAAACAAACAACCTATGAGTAATCTTTAAATAGCCGTACCAAAGCCCATTACACAACAAAAGTTGAAGCTGTTATTTCTCATCTGAAATTCTGAGAATTTTTGAGAATGAGGATGGAGGAGGTTTCATTGCAACTAATACAACCGGCGGTGAAAGAGTGGAAGGGAAAAAGATGTGAGAGACTCTTAGAGCAAGATTATCGTTGTCGTTATGGACATATCTTAGCATTAAGAACATTTAATTTAAATCAATAATACAGAAAAAGGTGAGGATCATTTGCTAATTAAGAAGTTTTTTGTGCGTCCTTAAGGGGACGTGTCAAGATCCGGAGTGAAGACCGAATCGAGATTAGGGTTAAATCGTGTTATGGTGTCTCTCATTTTCATCGTCTCCCTCTTCTCTCCACTGTGGTGATTTGCAAGCCAACTGATCCGTTCTCGCTCAATCCACACCGCTCTATCCTCATATACAAACCTCCTCCGCCGATTCCAATAAAAAACTGGTATGTATTCCTCCTTTGTCCTCCGTTCCGAGAGTTACATGAATTTTTTGTCATTCTCGATCAATCTCATCTGTTTCGGGGATTGGTTGGATTTTGTTGTGACGATTTGATTGTATGCTTTGTGTAATCCGATTGAATGGTTGGTGTCTGAGTAAATTCAATTGGAAATTAGGGTTGATTTAGAGAATTTGTCGGAACTATTTGCTCTAAGAATCCTTTCAGTAAAATGGTTTTGTTCTTAACTTGGTGATTATAAAATCTACTCGATGGTGATTTGAAAGGATGTGTTCATGTTGTTGGTTTCATATCTGGTTATACGAGTAGAAGGTAGCTTCGTCTGTGTTTGTTTTCGTCTCTTTGTGATTTACTTTGGGATACAAAGTGTTTATCATCTGTTTTGGGTATTGTGAGGAGCTTTATTGTATTCGGCTATCTGATCTTTGATGGAGTGAAAGTTCTAATCTTTTAACTGCTATGTTTGTTATGTTTGTTAACTCTTTTAACGTTAGACAATAAATAATATCTATGTTTTTTCTTTGATCATCTTTATTAGAAGAAATCAATTATGTGATGATGATGATGTATGTTTGTTATCTCATTTGTTATCTCTGTATGTGTTCCTCTGTGATGATGATGCTTGGATTCTAAATAGCAAACTTATATTTTCTTTCTATCTTATTTTCAGGTTATTTCTGCTAATGGGACAATACTATAGCTATCCCAACCTTTACTGCCAGATGAGTATGGGAACACAGTGGAAAGTCGCTACAACGAAACTGAAGACCTTATTCGTCGGGACCAAGCAGAGATGAGCTTCGATAATAGCTTCCCGAGTACTTTCCCGTACCCTCCTTAACCAGAGGTGGAGTTTGGCTTCCCGCAGACCTGTTACTGTGGCGGCAAACCCCTTCTAGAAACCTCTCACACTATAAATGATCCAGGTAGAAGGTACTATACGTGTGCGAATGTTGATGACGTAGAATGCCATGTTTGGAAGTGGTGGGACGTGGCCGTGATGTAGGAGATGAGAGCCAGGGACACACACATACTTCAATTGGAGGAAAATGTAGATTTTCTTACCTTCTCGAGTGATATTGAGACGGAGCAGAAGTTGGTTCAACTAGAGGAGATAGTGTCTGAGTTGGTTAAGAATAAATCAAATTTGATGTTGATGTTCGTGTTCATGTTGTTGGTGTAATGGTTGTTATTGTACTTCTAATTGGTATGATGCTCATGTTGTTGGTCTAACCTGAGCAATAATATTGCTCTAATCTTCTATCCGCTTTGGTTTTTATGTTGTAGTACTTTTAATATGTGTAATGGTTTGTTGGTCGTTGTTGTATTCTTATTTTGCTGGGTTTTGTAATTTGTTATTTACTAACTAAAATAAATAATTAATTTACTAAGATACAACTAAAATTCCAAGTAATAATCTACATCTGGAGGTTGTATATTTCCTTTATATCTTAACATACACATAATACTAAAATAAGCTAAGAACTCAAAATAAAGTTCTAGCAGTAATGTTGTCCTTACCTCAGAAGCGGAAAGCTGCAGAGTCGACGAAGCTCGCTATCATCAGAGATCGGTAGATGGCAGAGGCTGTTGATGCAGATGATGTTGAAGAAGCAAGGGGATTTGCAGTCGGATGGCATGATTACCAAACAAGAATAAGGAGACGAAAATCCAAGTCTAACAACTTTTTTTTTGTCATCGAAAAAAGAAACATTTACACACATTTAGGACATCTCGAATGGCACACTATTTTTTTCTCTATAATTTACACTAAAATAGAGTAACTTTATTATAGTGTAAATTTTGCTCCAATAGTTTACTCTATAATAGGGTTACTCCATTATAGAGTGAAATATAGAGGAATGTCACTTTTCACTATATTTTTGGAGTGAAATAATGGTATTACTCTATATTTCACTTGCTCTATTATAGAGTAAACTATTGGAGTAAAATTTACACTATAATAGAGTTACTCTATTTTAATGTAAACTAGATTTTGACATGCGCTTGAAAGCGCGGAAATTTTTTATGATTAAAAATTAATATAATTGGGTTTTGTCTTAGTTTAAAGAATATTTTGATATAAAATTAGTTCACCTAAATTTGTGGTGATGATTATTTTTCATTAGTTTTTGGTTTCAGTTTTTATTTTTAGATTTTGGTTTTTGGTTTTTAGTTTTTAAGTTTCTACTTTTCATTTTCAGTTTTTGGTTCTGGTTTTTAATTTTTAAACCCGCTGAATTAGTTTGAACTAATATTACCATCAAACAAATCTCAAATAATCGAACATCTAATTCAAAACTGAAAAGATGACAACAAATTTTTTAAAAAAATTTGAAATAGTTTATTTTGTAAATAAACAAAGCAAAAAATATAACATGTGTTTTCAGCTTTTGGTTTTGGATTTTAGTTTTTAGATTTGGTTTTTGGTTTTGCTTTATATTTTTTTAGTCAGTAAATTATTTAAGAAAAATAAAACAATAAATTATTTAAAAGTTATCATTGAAATTTATCAAAACAAAGTGATTGTTATTTAAAATAAAAAATATATATTAACATGTTTTAAAGTACATGATTTAAATAAATGATTAATAATAGATAATTTTGTTTTGTTAAAAATATTAAATACCTTTTGGGTCTGAAAATAATAATTGATTTTTTGATCTTTTAAGGTGACAAGTTTATTCAATATTTTTAGATTTTTTTTTTCTTAATACCAAGCCCAAAAACCAAACTATATAATTTGTTCAAAAAATAAAAGTAAGCTCAAGACTATATTCCATAAATAACCATTGGTTTAATTTAAGTATAATTAGTAGATTTCCATATTCCATATTTTGATGATATATATTCTTTTAGAACATTCCATATTTGTAGGAGAAAATATGTGTTTTTGGTATATACATAGATACCTGCCATATTTTGAAGGTAGTTTACATTAAGATCGTCTCTTTACATTATTTGTGTTGGTTTAATTTAAGTAATACGGTTCAATAAATTATATATGACTTATATTATTTGTAACATTCTAGAATTGGTCCAAATTTAAATGACAACTTGTATCAGTAGATAAAAAGAATGACTCTATTTTAATAGAGTAGATTATATAGGAAAAAATAGTGTACCATCCAAGATAGTCTTAGTTACTTTTTCACTTTGTGTAACAACACTGAAACTTCGTTCCGTGTGATCTCAAAGGTTTTCAACTCCCTCTTGTGCTTCCCATGTTCGCGTTGGTTCTCACATCTTCGAGGTTAAACATCCTACACAAACGCAAGTTATAGTACGATCTTACTTGATTCAACTACATGCCTTTGTTATCATGTGAGTCGAAATTCATAGAGTCAATACCATCTGTGGAGGTTTGTTATGTTTTTTGGCCTTTCGCAGGTTTCTAGATGAAGAAGCTGATGAAGTTTATAGCAACACTTGTCAGGAAATATCTAACATTGGCAACGCTTTTATCCAAACTAGGATACACAGATGTTCTATCAGACACATGCATTTTTTAATTTTGTAGTAAATCACACCCACTTGTCTTGAGTCACCTTCTTAAATCTTGAAAAGATAAGTCATTCATTCCTTGACTAAGATTTGTTTACTACTAATGTAAGATTAGTTTGAATTCTTAGCTGGTTTGAAAGCTATAATACAAAGTGTAAGCTTTTCTCAGTTCACATTGGTACTTGAGAGGAAAGTTGTGAGCAATAAACACTTGTTATTTAAATTAAACTTTGACCCGAACTCGCTACATCAACTCGTTAGTTTTATATTTTGTAGTATTTAGCTCTATACATCTATCGTCATGCAACTTTAACAAAAAGTGCCCACTTGTGTCTGGCACACTGATTTTATAATCGTTAGGGTCAACATGCTGGGTTCTTTCTTCTGTTAGATTTTTAAAAAGGAACACTCTGCATTTTTCTGATTCCATCATCCGCAACGTTTTTTTTTCTCTCTCTCATAGATTACGGGAAGAAGTTTCAAGTTTCCATGCAAGAAGCCGTCCTCTTAGCTTTTTTCCTAATGTTTGTTCCATTTCTAGCCTTAGCTCAGGTGGACATGTACGAGCTTTCTCCAAGGTTCAACTGTGTAGCTCGTGGTCGTGGAGGCAATTTCACGGCCAACAGCACTTTCTCCGGCAATCTCAACCGCCTTGTCTCCTCTCTTTACTCACTCACATCCAAACCTTATGGCTTCTACAACCTCTCTTCCGGAGAAGACTCATCTGGAGAAAGAGCTTATGCAACTGGTCTGTGTAGAAGAGAAGTCAAAGGAGATGATTGTCTCAGATGTATTCAGACAGCAGCACAAAATCTCACCGTGCAGTGTCCGCAGACAAAACAGGCTGTCGTTTGGTACACGCACTGTATGTTTCGTTACTCGAACAGGACAACTTATGGAAGAAAAGAGACAACCCCGACTTTGTTTTTACCTGCACCTGAAGAGATATCATCAAACAGAGATGAGTTTGGGCGTCGGCAGCTAGAACTATTGCACAGACTCAAGGGGGTTGCGGCGGCTGGTGGGTCGAATAGGAAACATGCTCAAGGGAATGGCTCGGCTTCGACGGGGTACAGGAGATTCTACGGAATGGCGCAATGTACACCAGATTTGTCTGAACAGGATTGTAATGACTGTCTAGAATTTGGGTTTGATAATATCCAAAGTTGTTGTGGTAATTTGATTGGTCTGAGGTGGTTTTGTCCTAGCTGTAATTTCCGGTTTGAGACGTGGCGGTTTTATGAGTTTGAATCCGAGCTAGAGCCTGATCCACCTGCAAGAACTGAGAGAACAGGTAGGTAAAAAATAATTCTGAATGTGTCTATTTTGTATTGTCCTTAGTTGCAAATTCGTGTGTGTTCTACAGGAAAAGGCAGAGGTGGGTCAAGAATCATTATTGCAATAGTCATTCCGACTGTTTTTGTTGCGTTATTTGCAGTTTTTGTATGCTTGGTCTTGAAGTGGAAGAAGAAAAACAAGTCTGGAGAAGGTGTCACAATTCTGCTTCACCATGTTCGATCTATGCTTTTTACAATAAATAAACTAAAGCCTGGAATCTATTGTCTGTGGTATTCAGTTCTTTGGAAATGGCCTTTGGCAGTCTATGCATCCTCCACTGAACAGATCTGCTTGTTTAGTAACTTCTGAATGGTATCCAGCTGTGCTTGTACTTCATTGATGTATTCCTTCCCAAGGAATGATGTAGCTTTTGTCTTCATGAAGTTCTTCGTGCTGTTGCTGGAAGCTAAGTTATCAATTAACTTCATAGCCTCTTGTGGATTCCTGGTGTTGAAGTTGCCATCACTAGCTGTTTCAAGAACTCTCTGATAATCCAATGTGATGCCTCTGTAGAAAGTGCAAAGAAGTTGTACTTTGTTGAAACCGTGGTGTGGGCAATCTCTTTGGTAGGACTTGAATCTGTTCCATGCATTATTGAATGACTCTTCAGGATTCTGAGTGAATGTAGCAATATTTTTCCTCCATTCTTCAGCGTGTGACTCATCAAAGAAGTTACGCAGGAATGCGTTCTTGATGTCAGTCCAGGTTGTGAGAGAACCTGGTGGTAGTTGTCTCAGCCACTGCAAAGCTTCTCCAAATAGAGAGTACTTGAAAAGCTTGCAGAGAAGATAGTCTTGAGGGACTCCATTGGGTTTTATGACGGTTATGAGATCCTCAAACCTCTCCAGATGGTCCATAGGATGCTCATTGGACAACCCACAGAAGAGTATTTGTCCTACAAGGGTGTAGTACTGCGGCTTAAGCTCGAAATCTCCTCTCTGAATTGCAGGAGGGCGGATGGCTGATCAGTTGGAATAGAACTGATCTGGACGGTTGTAGTCAACCAAAGATCTAGCTTGGTTAGCCTCTTCTACATGTTGAATGATGTCTGTAGGTGCAATCTCTTTCTCAGGTATGATTACCTTTTGAGCGTTCAGCTTCTGACCTGCTGCATTACGCAGATGACCATCTCGATCACGCAGGTCTCCATTCTCATTGGTAGTGAGAATAATAGGCGCTACCATGTCTCGCCAGTTAGTATTGATCGATGTAAGATGAGGTATATCGATCGATGTCGGATGAAAGGTATCGGTCGACGAACGGTTGTTGATGTCGAGCGATGTGACGGTGAGAGTATCGGTTGACGTTGAAGGTGTCTCGGTCGACTGTGGTAGGCAAGTATCGGTCGACATGGATGTGTTGATGTCGATAAATGAGGAGCGTAGGTCTTTGCGGATGCTACGTTCCAAGCCGTGAGGATCTTCTGAGTACAAAAGGTGTTTGCTCTTGTTGCTTCTAGTACTGCTGGACATGTACCTGAAAAAGACAAGAAAATTTTTTGGTGTCAGAAGATAATTAAACAATAAAAGAAAAGTAACCTAGACCTAATCAGATTAAATCTAAAGTTTATCAAAGTTCCCCGGCAACGACGCCTAATTTGATTCACTCAAATGTTTAACCCTAAGAAGTGAATTACTCTCTCAAATAAGAAGTTCAGTTGTAGTACTTATGGATCGAATCCATAGGAAACTAAGGAACACAATAGATGTAATCCTAAATGATTATGCTAGGTTGATTAGGTTTAAAATAGTAAATTGCAGTTTTGTAAGCAATGATAAGTTGCTTGAGAGAATGTGTTTAGGTTTAAAACAATAAAAGAAAGTAGTTAGATTTAAGGTTGCTATTCAAATAATCAGGATTATAATGCTATAGATGTTTTAATGAATTGCTTGCAAGATATATGAGAACTTTGATTTTTAGACAGATCTAATAGCAATCGCTAAATAGACACATCCATTGATCTTATTGCCAGCAATATCGACCGATGTTTTGACAGCGGTATCGCACGATATGGGTTGCTGTCGATCGATGATTCTATAGAGGTATCGATCGATATAGCATAAAATTGAATCAAAACTGTGTTCACCAAGATCATAGACCGGTTCTCGCACAACCCTAGAGGATCTAAGCTCATGCCAAATGATTTCATGACAATGATTAACAAGTTAAATCACATCCATGATCATACTCTAGGTAGCTACTCTAGAGTAAGCATTAGGGTTCATTTGGATAATGTCAACAATTCAACATTCCATACTTGGGGCTAATCCCTCATAACTATTTGAACCCTAAATCTAACAAAAAAATCTACTCATACATAGCTGAGAGATTCATAACAGCTAGGTAATAATAGAAACTTATAGATTAGAAGATTGAACTTTTGGTTCTTGGAACAACAAATCTCTTTGTGTGTTTCTTCTAAATCTAGAATTCTATAACCTTTAAGAAATTAAGATGAAAAGAAATACTTTATTGCTAGGTATAAAATAGAACAAAGGAACAAGAAAATTATGCAAAGCTTTTCTGGTACAAAAGGAACTAAAACAATAAAAGCATTCAAAAAACATGTCTAGCTAAACACAATGGCATAAACTATAAATATGAGTTCCAATAGGTTAAAAACTTGTCAGGGGCATTATTGTAATATTGGGAAGATTTGGACTTCAAGTAGGCCAAGTTGGACTTTTTCTCCACGCATCATATCGATCGATGGTACATGGTGTACATCGATCGATGGAGTATCTCGACTTCATCTTCAATAGAAGCGTCATCGATCGATTACACAGGGTGTGTATCGATCGATATGTATCATTGTTGTCTGATCTTCATAGTCATCTCGGAAAACTCTCCTTTAAGCTCCAAAATGGCACCTAAATCATCACTTTACTCCAAAATACTCCTGAACCTGAAAACATACCTAATAGACTCCAAAACATATATAAAACTCATAAAAACATATCAATACCAAGGCTAAAAGCGGGTCAAAATCATGGTATATCAGTTGTTTAACCCACAATGCCTCCAAGTGTTATCTTTTTTCTTCACCAACACTACTGGAGATGTGTAGGGACTAGAGCTGGATTGGAATGTTCCTGCATGCAACAACTCTTTCACCATCTTATCAATTTCATTATTCTGATATACATCATACCTATAAGGTATCTGCTTCACTGGTTCTGCACCATCTTTCAAAACAATCTCGTGATTGTAGTTCGTTCTGAAAGGTGGTAGACTCTTTGGTTCCTTAAAGATGCCTGCAAACTCTTATGTTAACTCTTCAATTCTTCTTTCTTCCCTCTCACTTGCCGCATCAACTCCTAACACGTTTAAACTCAATGGATCCTCCTCTGATTCCTCATATGCATAAATCATGTGCAATTTCATATCAGAATCTTGAGTTTTATGGGTCTTCTTATACTTTACTTCCCTTAGTGAACCGGGTTGAATATCCATTAACAGCAATCTCTAGTTACCCCATTAAAACCTCATTTCCAACTTCTCAAAGTCCCATGTAATAGGTCCCAGCTTGGCTAACCATTGAATTCCTAGGACCACATCATGACCACCCAATGGAATAACCATAAAATCAGAATGAAATTGTTGTCCTTGAAATTCCCAGCGAAATTTTTTTATCTTCCCATAACTGAGATCCCGTCAGCCACTGCCACTTTAGTCCTCCCAGCTTCAACCACCTTACATCCCAACATCTCTGCAATTTTGGTATCAATAAAGTTGTGTGTAGAACCGGAGTCAATTAACACATATATGGCTTCTTCCCATGATAACCACACACTTTCATTGTGGTATAGTCAGTAATACTAGATATGGCATTGATTGAAATCCAAGCCTGCTCCTCTGTTTGATAATCCTCCTCCTCACTTTTATAGACAAATGCTTTGTGAAATACATCTTCATCTTCACATTCCATTGAAAACAACTGAGTTTTCTTATGCTTCAAGTAGTGATCCGGGGTGAACTTCTCATCACAACTAATCCCTTAGCTCTATGTTCACTCATCTCAGCCTGTTTAGTATTATCTTCTCTAAGTTTCCCTACTTCTTCTCTTCGAACATGAATAATCCCTCTATGTTGACTTAGCCGTGCGTGTGTCTTATTTTAAACCCAGTTACTCTTGGTTTCCTTGCGGGGATGTGCCTTCTCATACAATCTTCCCAAGACTAAGCAATCGCAAGTTGACGTTGGATGAAATATTCTCACATGCATCTGTGTTTCTAAACGCAACCCATCAAAAGACATACACTCAACATATACTCTTCTGACATGTGTAATCCTACTCTAATCAACTCAAATTTCGCGTGGTACTCTGCAATACCCTCAGTCTCCTTCAATTCTTTAAGCTTTGCAATCGGATCATCCAACACTTCCTCAAATCTTTCTTTGAGTCAGTTGATTTAGTTTTTTTTTGTTTGGATGTTGGTTTAGAGGGTTTTTTGTAAGTTGATGATTTTTTTTTGGCTGTTTTTTCAATATTTTTCTATATGGATAAAGTTTGACTCGACTCATTATCTAAGGTGATTATTGTTTCCATGGTTTTTAGATTTAGTTTGTTTATTTTGTTTGGATGTTGGTTTTAGTTTTTTTTTAGTTGTTTGGTTTTTAATTTTACTTTGAATATTTATTTTTTTGAAAAACATGAATTTTGATTTTAAATTTTAGATTCTTGATTTTTTTTAAATAATATAACTGATTAATTGATAAATTAAAATAAATAATAATGATAAAATATATCTTCTGAAAATAATAAAAATACAAAATACTACACAAAAACACATACAAATAGCGATATAAAATTTTCATTCTGAATAATTTGATGAAAGTCTTCTAGATAATTTTTTATTTCTTTTTTTTAGAAATTAATTCTATAGTTTAATTATTACTGAAAATTTACATAATCGAGTATAAGAATATATGATCAAATACTTTTTGAGTGTTGGGATGGTCTAATTTTATGTAGAATTACATTCTTCCTACGTGGGACCTCTATGTAATCTTCTTCTTTTAATGAAATATTCGTATGAAAATAATTAGTTATAAATAATCTATTTGTATTTCATATCTTAAAAAAAAAATTTATACTTATATATAATATTAATTAATTGTAAAAAAAAGTTATTAATCACTATAAATAAAACTATGTAATGAAATAATTAGTTATTAATTAATATAAATAAAATTATGTAATGATTTTAGTAATTGTTAGACACGTTAAACAACAACCAAAAATATACAACACACAATTTTATTAATACAATATATTATATTAACTTGAAATAGAAAATATGTCTTTCAGGTGTTATAAATTAAAGAATTTATATATATAATTTTTATAAATATTTTTAATATTTTAATATTGTATTATTAATATGTATTTGTGATTTATAATTTAGTACAATATAAGTTTTTAAAGTATAATAATTAAAAAACATGTTAATATATTTTTTTAGATAATAATTACTATATTTTAATAAATTTTAATAGTAACTTATACATGTTTTCTTTCTATTTTTGTATTATTTTAATATAATGTATTACTTAGAAACTTAATATAGTAATATAATGTATCTTACAAAATCGACCCGAAATTGATGTCTTAATCCGATCTATACTTACAATTTACTAGAAGTTATTAGTAACTTTACTAGAACATGAACGGGCATCCAAACACTTAGACATATAAATGATTAAGACTGAAAAAATATAAGTTATTATTAAAATTGATTGTATAAACTAGGCATGAGCATCCGGGTTCTCAATCGGGCTTCGGTTTTGTTCAATTGAGTTTCAGATTTTTGGATTTATCAAAATCATCCCCATTCGGGTTATATAAAAGTTCGGCTCGGGATCGATTCGGATTCTAACGGGTTCGGATCGGGATTAGTAAATCTTTAATGAACTGGTATAACCCGATGTACTTTTGGGTTCGGGTCCCAAACGGTTCTTCGGTTTACCAGATCTATATCTATTTTGTAACCAAAATACAAGTAGAATCGATTCTTCCGACTGAAAGTACCTGATTTGTATCTATTTCGTAACTAAAACATAAGTAAAATTGATTTAGAAATAAGAAAGAAACATCAAATGTGATCATTCAAAATCAAACAAAAGGTAAACATAGTTATTGATAGAAAAAAGTATAAAGCGAAAACCAAGTTTTCATTAAAATAGAAACATTATACAATGAAAACAAAACCAAAATCTAAGAACTTATGTTTCAACCTCTACCTCAACCATCACCCTTCATATAATAGATAATTATTTTAGATGTTCAATAATATCTCAAAGTATTTTAGATACATGTTAGGAACTGAATTCATGTTTGGTACAAGTTATTTTTGGGGTTTTTGAATGTTTCGAATTCTATCTGATATCCATTTAGGTTGGGATTGGGTTCGGATAATAATTATAACCCGAAATACTTTAAAACAAGATCGATTTGGTATTTATGAAGGATTTGGATCGGTTCAGATTCATTTTTATCGGATCGGATTCGGTTCGAATTTTTGGGTTCGGTTTATTTGCACAGCCTAGTATAAAAAAATAGACTAAAAAGTGAGTGATCTATACCTAGACTAAAAAGCTACCCATTAGACCATTAGGTCAGTAGCTGGTATATATTAGTGCGCCAAGCTTCATCTATTATAAATATTAAGGCCAGGAAATCAATAGAAACAAAATTGATAATGTTTTTTTTTCACAAGGTTGACTTGGTTCCGCTTTACCAAGTCTTTAGTTTTTGTATTGTGCGGGTTGTCTACTTGTCTACTTATGATTCTATCTATCATCACGGAGGGGGACCCTTGCCATCTTGAATGCGTTAGCCCTGTTCGGAGAATAGACGCTGCAACTACAGCAAATTAAACGACGCGGAGGATGTTGTTAGCTTAAAAAGCGTTGCCACAGCAGTGAAAAAAATCACTGGAATGAGACGCAACTGGCACGCGACTGACGCTGAAATTTTAAGCGTTCAGTTATCGTTCCGAAACTGCCGCTGCGTCTATTGTTATTAACTCCGCGTGTCATTATACTCCGATCTCTTGTTCGTACAGTATCAGAAATAGAGAGCTAAAAAGAGACTCTGACGCTAGACGCAGCGTTTACCAAAAGAACAGGGCTGTTGTCTACTTTTGTCTGTCACTGATCAGCAAGTTAAATATATATATAGGGGACCTTTACTATACGTTTTGGTTATTTTTTAGATTACAGAAGAAGAGAAAAGCTTCCGTATGGAACACGTCAGACATATCTTCTTCTTCCTTGCTTGTTTGCTTACACGTGTTCCATTTCGTGCCTTAGCTCAGATAGATACCTATGAGTTTGAACCAAGGTCCGACTGCCTCGAAGGGGACTACATGGACAACAGCACCTTTGCTGGGAATCTCAACCGTCTTGTCTCCTCTCTCTCCTCGTTAACACCAAAACCTTATGGCTTCTACAACCTCTCCTCTGGAGACGACTCATCGGGTGAAACAGCTTACGCAATTGGTCTTTGTAGAAGAGAAGTCAAAAGAGATGATTGTCTGAGATGTCTTCAGACAGCTGCAAGAAACCTCACCGAGCTGTGTTCGGGGTATAAACAAGCTGTTATGTGGTACACGCACTGTACGTTTCGTTACTCAAACGTAGCACTCTATGGAAGAAAAGAGACGGACCCAAGCCATTCTTTAATTGCCTATGTAACGATACCATCAGCCAGAGATGAGTTTGCACGTCTGCAGAGAAGACTATTGAATAGGCTCAAAGGGATTGCTGCGGCTGGTGGGTCGAGTAGGAAATACGCTCAAGGGAACAGTTCGGCTTCCCCAGGGTTATGGAAGTTCTTCGCGAGTGCACAGTGTACGCCTGATTTGTCTGAAGAGGATTGTAATGAGTGTCTCGTTACTGGATTTAATAATATCCCAAGTTGCTGTGCTAATCAGATTGGTCTTAGGTGGTTTTGTCCTAGCTGTAACTTCAGGTTTGAGTTGGCGCGATTCTATGAGCTTGAAGCCGACCTAGAGCCTGATACAGTACCTGCAATTCCGCCTGCGGATTCACCAACATCAGCTAAAGAAAACAAGAAAATTGATGATGCCTTCCACCCAGCGTTTGTTAATGGCCAAATACCAAATAATATTAAGCCAACGGGTACGTAGAAAATTCTTGAATGTCTATTTTGCGTTATGCTCCATGCAGGTGCAGGCGTTTGTCCCTAGCATGGCAATGGGTTTGTCTTTTTGATTAAAACTGTGAATGTTTTATTGAAGGTAAAGGCGGTGGTGGTTCTAAATTCATTATCGCAATAGCTATCCTGATAGCTCTTGTTGCATTATTTGGAATTTTCCTATTGGTCTTGAAGTGGAAGAAGAATAGGGTCAAAGGTAACAACACCATGTTCTTATTATTTTTTCTTGACCAAATGTTCTTATTCTTGTTATCCTTAAAAAATGATAAACTACTCCGTGCATACTCAGTTCTTGCGAAATCGCCTATGTCAGGATCACATGCGGACGATCAGATTTTGATTACAGATCCGTTACAAGTTGATTTCGAAAGTCTGAAGGTAGCGACAGATAACTTTTCACCAGAAAACGAACTTGGACGTGGTGGGTTTGGTCCAGTTTATAAGGTACGCTTCTTTTACAAGACGCTTTTGTTGGTTGGTTGGTTTATATGTAAGCTTGGGGATATACTACCTCCGTTTTTCTTTTTATTTGATGTTTTAGCATATTGCGCAAATATTAAAAAATAAAAATTCTTCCAAAAATTGCTTTTTTTTTTCATAAATCCTTTTACCAGTTACAAAAAAAATTCGTGAAATGTTGGTTGAACCGTTTCTAATAAAATTAAAATTGACTTTAAATACTCAAAACATCATATATTATGAAATAACATAAATCTTCCAAAACATCATAAAATTTGAAAAGGAGAGAGTATATATGTATCAGGCTGTGTTGTCTGATGGACAAGAAGTGGCGGTGAAGAGATTATCGGGTACTTCAGGACAAGGAGACATTGAATTCAAAAACGAGATTATACTACTTGCAAAGCTTCAACATAGGAACTTGGTTAGGCTTTTAGGGTTCTGCATAAAAGGAGAAGAAAGACTCCTTGTCTACGAGTTCATCAAGAACGCTAGTCTTGACCATTTCATCTTCGGTAATCTTTTGCTCCTCATGATCCTTCCTGACCATTCTCTTCTGCTATTTGTTGATCTCTGTGTATTCACAGATCTTGAGAAGCGTCAGCTTTTGGATTGGGGAGTACGATACAAAATGATCGAAGGAGTTGCTAGAGGACTTCTTTATCTTCATGAAGACTCCCGTCAACGGATTATTCACCGTGATCTCAAAGCTAGCAACATTCTTCTTGACCAAGAAATGAATCCTAAAATCGCAGATTTTGGCTTAGCTAAAGTCTTTGACTTTGGCCAAACTACTACACATCGATTCACTAGCAGAATTGCTGGAACTTAGTAAGTAAAATTCATCTTGCTAACTTATTAAATCTAAAAAAACAAACTGATATAAACTGGCTTTTTCTTTTCATCTTGAAGCGGGTATATGGCTCCGGAATACGCCATGAACGGACAATTCTCTGTAAAAACAGACGTGTATAGCTTCGGTGTATTAGTGATTGAGATCATTACAGGTAAGAGAAACAGCAACAATAATGAAGCTAGAGAAGGTCTTCTAAGTTGGGTAAGTACACAAGACCAAACTCGTAATTAGGTTTCGGTTTTGGTCTTCTTGTAAAGAAAATTTGTCATTCTGTTGTCCTCAGGTATGGAGAAGCTGGAGAGAAGATATTATACTAAGCGTAATCGATCCGACTTTAACCATGGGATCAAGAAACGATATCTTGAGATGCATACACATTGGTTTATTATGCGTTCAAGAGATGTCAATGACTAGACCAACCATGGCTTCGGTTGCTTTAATGCTCAGTAACTCTTCCTTTACTCTCCCGACTCCGTCAAGGCCTGCGTTTGTGTATGAGAATGTGATACTTTCAAAAGATTCTACTTCAGCGGAAGGGTTGCAAATGTCGCTAAATGGTGTCAGTGTTTCTGAGTTATCTCCACGTTAGGGAGTATAATTTGTAACTGTTCTTTTTTATTCTTCTCTGTAAGCCTTTTAATGGTCTTGTTTGTGTTAGTTTTTAAGCTGAAGCTGTGAGTCTCTTTTTATTCAGTGTTTGACTAATATTTTTATTCTTCTTAAGTCGTTTGAAGTTTGAACCATGAGTTAAGTGAAAAGCTGCCGTTTGGTCAAGTTGGAGTATAGTGATGAGAAGTGAGAAAAGACTAAACCGGGAAAGAGGGTTTGCTAAATGTGAAAACAGACGAGAGCCGTCTCTAAACTCTAGACGGCTTGCCGCTTAGTGTAATAAGAAGAGTAAAAGTACTAGGTTTTGTTATATTTTCTGATTTATTTTGTCTTCAAATTTTTTTTTTAATACCAGGAGGTTCAAAGCCAAAACTAGTAATTTTCTACACCCGAAACCACAACATGTACTATAGTTTCATCTCATCGATCACTCAAACTAAGGACCTAAGACAATGGTTATAGTCCTTTCTGATATGACATTGATCAACAAACAAATCAAAATAAGGTTTGGCTTATGGGTTTGGGTTTAAACGAGATGGGCTTAAGGATTTACTAAAAATATGTTTAAGATCATGTTTTAGTCAAAAAAAAACCCAATAATAATATACAAGAAATGGTCGTATAATATATCAATCTGACGGTAATTCGAAGATCGTTGACCATGCGAAAGGACGCAACCAGCTGAAGAGTTTTGCGACCACAACTTTCACAATTCGGTCAAGTCTTTGGTCTTTGGTCAAGTTCAATATATTTATGTAGTTTGTATTTCCTAGAATAAGTTTAGACCTTTGGTCTACACTACAACCTATTATATAAAGGTTTAGCTTTATATTGTTTAAGCATTCAACCTTTTTAATAAAAAAACTACTTTTTTATTTGTTGAATCCTTTGTTCTTTGTATTATCGTAATGCTAGGAGAGTTATCTCCGTAGGCACGGTCTTGTTCACTAGTGGGGCTTCCTCTCACGGACTAAGACCAACCCAACAAGTATTTGGCCTTCTGCAGCCTTATACTGAAGATCCATCGATCCACCATTCCTTTGATCTATCTTTTGGATCAAAGCTTATCTCTTCGCCAACCTTTGAGTGCATTCCCTGGGAGAGGAGCTATCATTTGGTATCAGAGCACACTTGAGGGTTCAGTGTTCACTTCTGTCATTCATCATTCTCATCTTTTCATCTTCTACCAAAAAAAAAGAGTTCAACAAGAACCAAGAGATCATCCCATCTGAAGTTAAACCGAGTCTGCTCTTTCATCTTTCGTAATGGCTCTAGGAGACTGACTCTCCGAAAGCAACCTGTTCTGATCACTAGTGGGGATGCTTCTCACGGCACAGGTTCTAAACATTAAGTCGGATTTGAGGGCAACTTGTTTTAAAAGAAGAGGGGATGATATGACCTTGATCAGCAACTAACAAATCAAAAGAAGGTTTGGCTAATGGGTTTGGGTTTAAATGAGATGGACTTAAAGATTTAATAAAATTATGTTTAAGATCATGTTTTAGTCCAAAGAAAGAAAGACCCAATAATAATTTACAAGAAATGATCGTATAATATATCAATCTGACGGCAATTCAAAGATCCTTGACCATGCGAAAGGACGCAACCAGCTGAAGAGTTGTGCGACCACAACTTTTAAAATTCGGTCAAGTCTTTGGTCTTTAGTCAAGTTCAACATATTTATGTAGTTTGTATTTCCTAGAATAAGTTTAGACCTTTGGTCTACACTACAGCCTATTATATAAAGACTTAGCTTTGTATTGTTTAAGCATTCAACCTTTTTAATAAAAAAACTACTTCTTTATTTATTGAATCCTTTATTCTTTGGAACATTGATATCACTCAAATGTTTAACCCTAAGAAGTGAATTATTCTCTCAAATAAGAGGTTCAGTTGTAGTACTTAGGGATCGAATCCACATGGAACTAAGGAACATAATAGATGTAATCCTAAGTGATATTAGGTTTAAAATAGTAAATTGCAGTTTGTAAGCAATGGTAAGTTGCTCAAGAGAATAGGTTTTGGTTTAAAACAATAAAAGAAAGTAGTTAGATTCAAGGTTGCTATTCAGATAATCACGATTATAATGCTACAGATGTTTTAATGAATTGCTTGCAAGATATATAAGAACTTCGATTCTTAGACAAATCTAATAGCAGTCGCTAAATAGACTCATCCGTTGATCTTATTGCCAGCAATATCAACCGATGGTACGATCGCCAGATCGGACGATATAGGTTGCCGTCGATCGATAACTCTATAGGAGTATCGATCGATATAACATAAGATCGAATCGAAACTGTGTTCACCAAGATCATAGACCGGCTCTAGCGTAACCCTAGAGGATCTAAGCTTATGACAAATGATTACAGGACAATGATTAACAAGTTAAATCACATCCATGATCATACTCTAAGTAGCTACTCTAGAGTAAGCATTAGGGTTCATTTGGATAATGAATATAAACAATTCAACATTCCATAGTTGGGGCAAATCCCTCATAACTATTTGAACCCTAAATCTAACAAAGAGATCTACTCAGACATAACTGAGAGATTCATAGCAGCAAGGTAATATTAGAGATTCATTAGATTAGAAGATTGAAATTTTGGTTCTTGGAACAACAAATCTCTGTGTGTTTCTTCTAAATCTAGAATTCTATAACATTTTAGAAATTAAGATGAAAAGAATACTTTATTGCTAAGTATAGAATAAAACAAAGGAATTCAAAAGCACAAGAAAAGTATGCAAAGTACACAAGGCATACAAAGCATGTAAAGCACAAAAAGCATGCTTTGGCAAACACATAGGCAAAACTATATATATGAGTTCCATTAGGTTAAAAACTCGCCAGGAGCATTATTGTAATATTGGGAAGACTTGGGCTTCAAGTCGGCCAAGTCGAACTTGTTCTCCACGCATCATATCGATCGATGGTAAATGGTGTACATCGATCGATGAAGTATCTCGACTTCATCTTCTAAGAAGCGTCATCGATCGATTACACAGGGTGTGTACCGATCGATATGTATCATTATTTTCTGATCTTCATAGTCATCTCGGAAAACTCTCATTTAAGCTCCAAAAAGGCACCTAAATCATCATTTTACTCCAAAATGCTCTTGAACCTGAAAACATACATAATAGACTCCAAAACATATATAAAACTTATAAAAACACATCAATACCATAGCTAAAAGCGGATCAAAATCATGGTAAATCAAACATCGTAATTCTAGGAGACTGATCTCCGTAAGCACGGTCTTGTTCACTAGTGGGGCTGCCTCTCACGGACTATGACCAACCCAACAAGTATTTGGCCTTCCACAGCCTTATACTGAAGATCCATCGAGATCCACCATTCCTTTGATTTGTCTTTTGGATCAAAGCTTATCCCTTCACCAACCTTTGAGTGCAGTCCCTAGGAGAGGAGCTATCACTTTCCATCTGAAGTAATGACTTTTGGTTGTCTTCGATTTCTTCTTGATTCACAAGCTTTGTTCTTGATAAACCCGAACTGCTTGTCTTAACATTTTCTATTGGATATGTTTAGATAAAAGTTATGTTCTTAACTATGTTCTTCTCTTCTCTTACGTTTCACTCATACTCACTTTGTTTGATCACCCGTGTGTTTTATGTAAAAGCAGTAAAGACACACAAGATTTATCCAAATCACGTCTCAATGTGAGGTTGCTACGTCTGGCCGAGGTTTGCTCGAAACTCCACTAGAGAGCTGGGTTACACTTCACCCTTACAGACAAAACAAATCATAAACTCACGGTTATCCTCTTGTACTTCATTTAGTCCCTTCTCCGTTGATTCTAACCATTTTTGTAACTATTCTTACATGAACCAATCCAGAAACAAATAAGTACCTTGAACCGTTAATGTAGGCACGCTTAATTTCTCATTTCTAATGCAGTAGTATAGCACTTTTGTTTGGTTTTAAATTCACTTACTTTATATATATACTAGGTTAAGATCCGCACCTTGCGTGGGATAAATATTTTATATAAAAATTATATTTATGTATTAATATTTATTTTATGTTTTTTGGTATTATGAAATAATAGAGTAATAACCTATATTTTATAATTGAAAAATCAGTAACTATTATGTATATAACTAAATTAGCGCACGTTTAAATCAAACAATCAGTCTTGTTTATTTACAATAATTTTAAGGTATCTAAATCAAAGAAATCAGTTTTATTTATTGACTATGATATATAATTATATTAAATGATATTAACATAGATATATAATATATTTTTAATATGGCTGTTTATTAAATAAGGTCTCTACTCATATAATTTTATAATTATGTGCATTTTTATAAAAAAGTTAAATTATTGGTAATTTTTTAATGTGGGATGTTAAATATTTTTAGTAATTTTTAATAATTTTTAACAAATCAGTGAAAATATCAAAATTAAATTCTCAATATTTTTTCAACAAATAACAAAATATATTTATTTTTATATGGTATATAGTGTGATTTAAACGACGTTAAATATATATAGAAACACCTATTAAAAAAAACTTCTTACCCATATTTTTTTTGTCAACTAGCTCATATTATTTTATAAATCATTTGTATCTTATTAAAGCAAAAAAATTAAACCATTGATTAGAAAAGTTTATGAGAGTTTTTTTAACAATTTTAGGAAATATACCCGTTTAAAAAATTCAAAATATGATTGTACGAAAAAATCTAAAATTGTATTATACGATTAATGTAATTGTGTAATTTATTTTAATAAAAAAATTAAACAAAGATGATAGAGGCTATATAAATTATTAGTAAATCTTTATTATTCAAAATCATTAATTGTCATATATATATATATTCTAATCATATTAGGTACTTCCGTAGTTTTCATTTTAGAAAAAATGGAGAATAACTTTTTACATTAATAAGTAATTTTATTGTTAATTTAATGAAAACTATAGTTTATATTTATATGAACCAACATATTTT